TTTCGATTTGTTAATATCAAATTTTTAAGTAAGACTATCAGGGGTTTTCTTTTAGACAGCTTTTTACTTCACAAGGAAATTAGGAGAACAGCTGAAGATGTTTCACGTAATTTAATAATTAGTATCCTGTAACTCTATAACATCTAACAGTATTAGAAACTATTATTTTTTAGTATTTTTTCAACTCAAATTCATTTGTAAGGTTTCCTGTAGGAATTAAAATTCTCACGAAAAGCGGAATTAATTTTTACTTTTTTAAATAAAGATTTTTAAGTTGTAAATTCGCTAACGAATTGTTTCAGCTTCCCAACATGCTGACGCGTCAGCTGTTGACTCTACGGCTGAATTTGAACGGGTCGAAGCCGAAATCAATGCCAGTGAGAAAAGTTCCAGTTGTCAACAAAGTACTACTGATGAATCTCTAAAAGTATTCCGTGAGAAAGCTGCTTGTCTTGTTAAGATAGCAGCTGTTGATAAGGTAAAGAAATTTCTTTTCTTCTATGTTTTTTGAGTTATGCTGTACTGTCTTTACTCTAGGAGCTAGAATCAGAGTACTCTTCTCTAACCTTGGGGTCTTTCTCTGGTCAGGTTTCGGGAAGACCAAAAGACACCAATTTAATAGACTTAAGCGAAGACTCTTTGGACGAATCGAAAAGAAATGATTATCGATCTCGTTTGCGGCGTCTTCTCGATCGGGACGGTAAAATCTTTATTTTTTTTAATTTTTTGTGAATTGACGAATAATACAACACATTTTCTATTTGTTTTAGCTGTAAGACTGCAAATTTGTGGGATTTTTTTCTTTATCTAGTAATTTTATATTTTGTTAGTTTTTTTTCATCTTTTTTTGGTGTTTGATCACACTCTAGCCGACTGCCTCAATATCTAATCTTCTTCTCCTTCTAGATGATCAGGACCTTCCTCTAGTACAAGCCGCTCCTGCTGGCCTTCAGAAAGTCAGTTTTATTTGACACATGTTTTTTTTTTTAATTTTTATGCGATGATCTTTTATTGGTTTCAGTTTTCGTAAGTCATTTTGCTCTTGCGAATTTTTTAGTGAGTTTATGACACCCAAGGTTTTTTTTAACTGTAGCATTTTTGCAGTTCTTTGCGATTTGGAATGAATAAGTTTTTTTAAAGCATATAGCTGTATCGCTTCGTACCAGTCATTATTCTGCAGGATACGAATGCTAAAACTAACGGAAGTGATAAATCAAGAAGTGAATCTGAAGTTGGATTTCTGCAATTTGCACCTAGTGTTTCTAGTGAACGTTCGTCGAGCAACCGACATTTACGACATGCTTACTCATCATCTGTTTTAGAGAAAACGTCGGTGGAGTCTCCTGGAGCTCTTTTAGCAAGAAAATTTCTGAATGATGAAAACTTGTTTTCTAAACCAACTTTCTTCCTGCCTAATTTCCTAGTATGATTTCATTTTCTTTGTTTCTTTGGAGAATTCCTTGAACTTGGGTCTTGTTTGGGATTTGTTTTACTCTCAGTTCACTTGGGGATTTCTAAATTATTTGGTTCATTTGATCAGCTGGTATGCTTGTAGATCGGAAATGACTCGTGTTTCTCGCTCTAAAATCATTTTTTTAGGGATCAGAAACTCCAGTTTTACCGCGTCTCCACTCATCTCCTCCAGATAAAAAGTGCTTGAAGAATTTGTATACGTGTCTCCAAGATGCCTACGAAGAAAACCTGCGCAGAACAACGGAGGTTTTCTGTTATTAATGTTACAATGTTGGATCTTGTTTCCTGTATTTTTTGTTGTTAGAATTACTCTAATTGTACTCCTTAAAAGCTCATTTACTTCATTCCAGCTTGAATCTTCCTATTCGAAACTTCTGAAGAAGCATAGTGATGCATTGGAAGAAATAAATATATTGGTTGCAAAGGTAAATGAGATGACAGAAGCGGAGACAAACCGTTCAGAAGAATGTAATGTTTTGAGGAAAAGTGATCAGCTAAAAAATATTGAAATTAATCGCTTGAAACGAGAAATTTCTGCTTTAAGAAAACAGCAAAAAAACAACGAGGAAGGAGAGAGTGATATGATCAAGTTGTTAAAAGAGCAGGTATGATTTTCTTCTGTCATCCAGATTTGTTTTATACGTTAAGAGTGCATTTGCGAGGCTTGAAACCTAATTACCTGGGGATGAATTTTTATATTTTGAGATAGTCGGTCAAATGACGTTTCCGGAGCTCATCATGCACTCATTAATTTTGTTTCTGATTTTTCAAACATTTTTCAAAATATGCGTTTCCTCTCTGTAATGGATCTAAGAAGAGCTTTCGTGAGATAAAGTTCTGGAGTCATCCAGGCATTTTGTTCCTAGCGGAAACTGCAGGAGAGGAAACCTAATTGTTAAGAAATTGCCTAAAATCGATGTGAATTGCAAGCAGCATGATTCAGTTATTAAGCGTTGGAATAAGGTGCAAGATTACACTCCATCTTGAAATGATTATTTATTAGCTCTCTTTTATCCATAGTGTACTCACCATACTTTGATACGTTCAGTGAAATAGTGAGTTAATTGAGTCCTTATAAATGTGATTTTATGGTTAGGTTTTTTTTGCATTTCTGGTGCAACACTTAAGTAGTTATTCGTTAGCAAGACGCAATATGTATTATTTATTCTATTCAGAATCTGAAATTGGTTGTCTTCTATGGAGCTTTTTCAGTATCTCCGGTTTCAAAAATGAAGCTTCTGGGGTGGTTTAGTTAGAGATTTGTAGATATTTCTTGTTCCCGAGATCTCTTACAGTGAGGTGAAGGTGCGCAACGATGTTGATTTTTATTTTAGGAACTGCTTTTCTGTTACTGTCAGTCGAATGGCTGGTTCCCAGTCACTGTCTGTAACTCCCCTTATCAAACAAAACGCATGAACTTCCGTTTCTCGTGATCATTACATGGTGACATTGTAAACGCAGTTCCAGGTTGACGACTTGCGCAGACAAACCCACATGCTCCAGAGCCAAATAAGTGACCTAAGACGTCAGAAGAAGAAAGCTGATGATGAAATAAAGATTAGAGTGAAGGACGTTGAAGAACTAAGAGGAGAGAAAGAAAGATTAACGCAGAGGCTAAAAATGTTTACTGTATGTTTTCCTCCAGTATATAATTTTTCTGCCTACATTGAAGATTTTAAGTTCGAGTTGTATCCTTAAGGATGAAGAGGCACAGATCAGAGGGAAGAACGCAGAAATAATGTTTTGCAATGCAGCATGGAAGCGAGCTGTGACGAGACCCCCCATTACTGCTGCTACGAAGAATCTTGGGTTGATTGGGCCGAAAAGAGCAGTTTTGAGAAATGTTTGTTTTTTAACTGTGCAGTTAGTAAGCGGTTCCTTAACTGACATTTATGAAGATGGAAAGTGAAAATCAAAAAAAAAAAAAAAAA